ACTTCCCGAGGACTTTTCCAGTCCTCTCTTTCTATGATCCTGTTCCATGATGGTTTGCCACCCTGGTGACACATGTTAAGTGGCTTTTCACTGAAACACTCAAGCATACATACTTCAAATAGGTCTCTCTTCCCAGTTTAAAACCCCTGTTCTAAAGGATGCAGACACTGCACTGCAGAAGGTAGGTCATGAAATAGCAGATCTGGACAGTCGCACCCATTAAGTGCCTTCTAGAAGACGCACCATTTGATTCTCCGTGATTTGGCAGAGCACGTTCAATACACTAGTATCTAAAGACTCCTATGCACTATGCAGCCAATACATGTAGAACAAGGTGGTCCCTGGTCCCAGAGTCCTAGCTCAGGCTGTAATACCTTAAAAGCTAGTGCATACCTTTGAGATTAAAATCCATTGATGGATCACTTAAGCAGTCCTGCTCTCAGCAGTAACTCAGGCCTATAGCTACAGGGATGAATGTATCCAAAAGCCAGCATGTTATAACTTGGAAAATGAATAGACAGGAGAGAAAGGGCGGTTGCGAGGCGCTCTTGCATGGGGTCTTCACATGCATGGCTTAAAACAGAGCCAGACACTTATTCTGTATCTGCAGAGTGCCAGTGCCTCACAAGACCTCCCTTTCACCCATTTGCAGAAAAGGAGTATGCAGGGAGTTGTGCCAGGTAATGCAGACAGACCCCTCGAACCCAGAGGCTTACAGAGAACAGATTTGTGCTGGCATCTCGGAAATAACCAACACCATGGGCAAGGGTTTGATGTGATGATTTTAGGGATATCTTCAGTTAACATCTGCCTACAAAACAGCAGACTGGTCTCAAAGGACTGGAAGGGGCCTCCTGGGGCAAGGCTCCAGATTTTTTTTTCCCCCTTTTTTAAATGAAGGACAGGGCGATGGCAGGCATAGCCTCGCAGTTCTGCAGCACGTGGCTGCAACACTGCCTTATTTAGTTCTGCTAGAACGACACAGCTGAGCAAACACTAAAATAGTAATACAAAGACTAAAATTGCAATACAAAATACAACCCCCCCCAGCCCACCCCCCTCTCTCAGGCTGCTGCTTTGTGCACAACCCTAGGGAAGGGCTGCACCACAGACTTAAACTGCTCGGGGTCTGAAGTGTGTTGTTTCCATCCTGGGTGCAGGAGAGCTAGCAGCTATCCTCAGCGATCAGCTAAATCCTATGCTTTTTTTCCCACTCTGGACTAGGACAGTCGGGTGCTGCGCTCGTACGTGCCAACAGGCAAGACAGGCACGAACAGATCACCTTGCTCTGTCGCATGTATGAAAAAAATGAACCGTCCCTCATGGAAACGGAGTCAGTGGCAGCGATTCCTAGAATGCAACCAGCCCGGCAGCACCAGACCAGGAAACTGGAGCCCCAGGTTCTAAAATCGCAGCCCAACCCTTATATCCAATCACACGGACAATAACAAGGATTAAATACTATTTATAGGCTTACAGTATGTCCTAGGTCTAGGTTTGCACAGTGAAACGCTGATACGAGGCACCTGCGCCAGCCAATCTGAGTGGTTTTAGTGCAGGGTAAGTGAGGAGTGCCAAACAAAGCAGAGAGATGAAGGTGGAAAAAGTTTCCCTTCAGAGCTGTGGATAAAAGCCCTGCCCTTTCTCGTCTCCTAAAGGGAGGCTCCCTCGCACACCACGGCAAAGAAAAAATCCCACAGTGAACAAGGTGTGTTCAAGTCACGGAGGAGGAAGAAGGGTCTGAAGAAGGAAGGGACACCTGGACGGATTCAGACCAAGCTCCAGAGAGGTGAAAAGTGAAGCAAAATTCAGCCGTGACACCCCCTGCCACTACACACCCTACTGACACGAGGCCTGAAGTCCAGATAGGACCAGGGACTCACCTTCATGCCCACAAGGTTGTTGTGAAAGTCCACCCTGGCTCGCAGGTCCTTGATGGATTTCTTCCCCAGAAACTCCTTGACGAACTTATTGCTGTACTTGAGGTTGTCGCCACAGCCGCCCCACTGCCAGGCCTCCCTGTTCTCCAGGTCAGGGGCTTCATCGCAGGTGCAACGCTCCATACGCCCAGCGCTGCAGGCTTTGGCCATGGCATGGGTGAGCCCTGCTGAGGAAATGGCATAGAGGAAGGCTGTTTCCTTAAAACCTAGGAGAGAGCCAAAAGGACACCATTACCTGGGGCTCAGCAAAACAAGCTGTACTATATGTGCAGGCAACACTGCAACGAGCAGCTGAACTGGAAGGAACAAGTTGTGCCAAAACCGCCTGTTGAACTCTGTGGGATGACGTAGTAGAGAATGCAATGAAGGGAACCTCTTTCCCTTGGCAGGGCAGCAGCAACCTGAAGCTCTCCACAAGTATGTGGCAAGGTCTGTGGGGCTGATCGAGGGAAAAAGTGGTCCCAGTGGTGTGCGTGGATCTGCCAAGACCATCCTGCTTCCAATCGAGCAGAGTGCCATCACAGAGATGAGGCCAGCCAGGACTTCAAAGCCACCACCGATGTATGTACTACAGCCTTGAGCAGCTAAAGGGTTACAAAGGAGGGGGGGCGGGGGAAAACCCTGAGGATGCCTGCTCCAGAAGCATGAAGTCTTGATGGCCAGTGCTAGAAAACTAGCAGCAACGTAAGCGAGGCAGACTGAGCAAAACAACGTGCAAAACAGGCGGTTAACTACATCCTCTGGAAATCTCAAATCTACCAAGCTAGTTCTCTCTCTCTCACTTGAGACTGAGATCATTTGTACTTTATTGGAAAATAAACTGAAGTAAAGCTAAAGTGGTTTGCATTAAGGTTATACAAGGAGCCAACAATGGAGCAACTCCTGCACAGCTGCATAGTTGAGATCAGACTCCAGGATTCGAGTCTGGACTTCACTCGAGAAACACCCCCATGCCCAAAGTCACGCAAGCCAATTGCAATAGGGATGGATCCATCTGTAAAGCCAGTCCAGTTTACACCAAACTGTTGCAAGACCATTCCTGGAACCGCCACTGGGAAGGCTCGTGCCGAGTGATCACGGGGCACTGCACCGTCCTGATTACTGTTCCAGCATCATCACATTGCTCTCCGACACCTAGCACTAAAAAGGAGATGGGAGAGACAGGCTGGACAGGGCGAGGGCTTATCATAGCTCTGCATGGCCTCCAGAAGGTGAGGCCAAGGTCTGAGCAGGGAGAATTTCCCCTTCTGCTACCAATTCAGGAAACACCTACTGAACACCGCATCCCTCACTAGAAGCACGGCAGTGGCAGAGGTAGTCGCTGGATGATCTTAGTACCAGCCCAGCCCCAGCATGGGTATATTCTGAATATCCAGTACCTAAGGGGGCATGACACCCTATCCCACATAAAGGGATCATACAACCCCATTACCCATCATCTCAGTGGCCAATTTAACCTATTGCAGGTGCAGGCTCCATCAGATCATGGCAGGGGCATCCGGCTGCTGCCAAGAGAACGCAATTTGCTGGACACCTGACAGAAGGTAAAACAGAAATGGGTTCAACTCCAACCTGGCTCATAACATCTGCTCTGCACCAGAAGGCAGGAAGGATTTAAGGGAATGATCTGGGTCATCTGGGATCACTGAGTACAAGAGACATGTTTGCTCTTTTTGGCCTCGCAAGAGAGCCTTTTTCCAGGGTTATCCTGTACTTGCAGGCCTGTCTGTTCAGTGTATGTGCAGAATACAAGCTTTCCATGTAGGAAATTAATTTTGGGAGGGGAATGATCATTTGTCTAGGCTATGCCAGGTGCTAGCCAGAATGCATGGGTACCACTGCCCTCCCTTGGACAGATGTCAGAACTGCTCCACTATGCATCATAGGCTCTGTACCGCTCCGAGCAATGCTCCAGGGCTTTTGGAATAGGATGCCCCAGTCTTGTCGCTGCCCCAAAAAAAGGAAGCAAGTGCATTCTGTGGTTAGAGATCCCGAAGGAAAACTGTCACTTATGAGCAATGCCAAAACCAGCCATCAACTGACCTGCTAAGAAAGCAACCATTATTTTCTCGTTGGTCTCAATGGGATGCTGGATACCTTCTGCATGTGACAAGCCCAGCATTAAAAAAAAATAATTATTTGCTTATTTTATATAGAGAGAATAAGAATAAGAATAAGGAGACACGCAAGGTCAGAGATACACGTGGAGAGAATGGATCCACTCTGGTGGCAAGATGCATTTGTTCAAGTATTAAAAAAAAAAGTAATAATACCAGGGACTTGTTCTCTGTAGAGGATTTCATAACCACCCCACTAGATATAAAAAGCTTATTCTGCTCTTCTCCATCCTTCATTCCCCGTGCCCATCAACCAAGGTATCAACTCACTCTTGGGCAGCTCACACGCTTCACCCAAGTTCATGTGACATTTGGCTCTGGCCAGAATTAAAGCCATCTCCATGGTGCACTATTTGATTGCACCAAGATATTTTGTAACAAGATAATGAGCTCTAAATCAATGCAGGCATTCTAACCTCAGGTGCCTAGGGAGCCTGCCATCCAGACCTATCCAATTTCAGCCATTTCCAGAATCGCATGCAAGTCTCCAAAGAGGGAATCCAAAGAGAATAATAAATCCTTTAACTGCACATTTGTTATTTTAAGAAATGGACCACTTATCTGGAAGTTGCAACCCAGCGATCGAGCAGTTTTCTGGTGACTGAACACAAGGTACAGAGGAAGAGTGTGGGGGGAAAGAAAAAAAAAAAAAGAGGCAAATTGGCTGCTCTTCTCCTGGAAAGGGCATGCTAAGTCTTAAAGGATGAAAAAAACCACACTCCAGTTTGCCAGGGTTTTAACTACAGCAGGCGCATGCCCCTTTGCCCTGAGGCACGGCTTGCTGCAATGCCGAGACAGGAACCAGCAACTCCCTGTGCGGAGGAGTGAAAGATTGAAGGGGAGCATGTTGTGCTAGAGGCACATCTGCAAGATTAACAGCGTCTGTGGAGGGTACAGACGAGCGCGGAGAAATAAAACATGGAACAATGAGACAGCAGGCAGACTACTGCAGCCTTTGGCAGGGTCATTTATTACGCGGTGCCTTTTCTCGCAGAGGCAGATAACACATTCTGCCTTGTACTGTATCCAGGTCCCTGTGACGAGCTACCCACCAGGACACCTCTCCGCCTGAAAAAACAGACTGTGGCCTCTGGGTGTCAGTATGAGAAAGCCCATTAGCCAGGGGTACCTCCGGCCAGCAGACTGTACTATGGGTCCAAGCAGAACCGTGCAGACTTCCTTTGCTCCCTACCATCGCTGACACCGCATCAGCTTAGACAGCTGTGCATGCCTAATTTTGTGCTGGAGGAAGCCTACCGGAAGAGAAGTATGGCCTAACAGCTGGAGCAGAGTTGCAAGTTAAGACTCCTAAGCTTCTACTCCCAACAACTGCGTGACCTTTCACTCACCCATTTTACAGACAAGCAGGTTGAAGCACCAGAGGGGGTAAACACAACCGACCACTTCTGTAGCTTCCTGGGTAGTAGAGAGAGTCTAGAAAGCATGGGGTTGGCTTTCCCCACTCTTCACCCAGAAAAACTCGGATTACAATAATTTTCCACTAGAGAAACTAGAACTCGCGTTAGGTTAGCTTCACTTGTGAAGACATTTTCTCCCTTCCTACAAGGTAGAGTAACTCCCAGTGTACGCTCTCTCCTCACCCAGCTTCTGCTCTACAAAGAAGACCCCCAAAAGAGAGGAACACGGTAAAAATTTCTCTCTCTGCTAAAAATAAAAACCAACCTCAACCTTATTTTCCTTTCGGGAAATAAAAAAAAAAAGCAGGTAGGCACATCCTCACAGTGGGAGCGCGATTCCACCACAACTATTTCCCTCGTTCTTCTGCAGCAGCAGTGCCCTCGTCTCCTTTGCTCCGAGCAGCACAGAGCATGCAACGGTATCCCTTGTCGCAGGAAAGGGTTGGAAATGAAGACTCCTTTGGTAACAACTGCCTGTTAACACAGGGGACTGGAGGCAGCAACTTGAGTCTGATGATTTGGTATGAAATCATTGATACGACCCTTTGCAACGGGGGAGGGGGGGCGACCCTTTGCAACTCAACCTACCAGTCCATGGCCATAGGCCTCCGATCCCTTGGGCTTACCTCTCTTCAGCAGGCTGGCCCTGTAGCGCCCCTCGAGCGTGCAGTTCCACCGTTCGAAGCGGAACTGGTACTGGCACTCCAGGGCACTCATGCTGATGGCCTCCATGAGGGTCTCGGCCACCCCGGGGTCCCGCCGACACATCCTGCGCTGCTTTTTCTCCAGCTTCAGGCGGTCGCACACTTTGTAGTGGGCCTTGACAGCAGCTTCCTCCATTTCTGAGGTCAGAGGGAGGATGGTCAGGGGTTCATTCCCAGTCAGCCTGCGAAAGGAATAGGGCATGGGGGGAAAATGGAAAGAAAGAGAAGAGATCTAGTCAGCGCAAGCAAAGTGGCTATCCCCCATCAAGCTGATGCCAGAAGCAGAGATCTGGGGAGCTTTTCTCCATAGGGAACAACCCAGGATTTATACAGCTCCCTAGATCTATTCCTTAACCCAGAACTTCATAAACCACAGCTTCAGGCAACACTGCCAAGAGGCTTCAGTTAAAAAGAAGTGAACTTGGGGGGGGAGAAAAAAAAAAAAAAAGACTAGAAATATTTGGAAGCTTTAGAGAAATACGTGTCCCACCCCCTCTTCCCCTCTCCAGCCTCCTCCAAAACACAAGGTCCTTGACTCGCACAATGTGCAATAAGAGCAGCCAGCATACTGTTCCTGGTGTCGAGTGACGGGCTGCTGGACACCACCCAGGCTGGCATCGGCCCCAGGGAGTAAAGAAGCGGCAAGGAACATCTGCTGGAGGCATGAGCCGTTTGTTGGCTCCGCTGCCCGTACCCCACTCTCCTGGCTCTGCCCTCTTCCGGCCAGGTGCCAGTGCAGTCAGTCAATGGGAATCACTATATAGGGTTTCGAGGGACCTGAAGATACATTTCCCCGGCCAAAAAGGAAGAATTGCTCAAGCCAGAATTCAAAACATGCTGGAACGCTTCAGGCCTGGGCGGACGCGCGCAGAGCCAGTGCGGGGCTGGGCCTGCGGCGTCTCCAAGATGCACGCTTGGCAGCTTTCAGCGCTTGCACAGACAGCCTGCAGGTCACAGAAAAAAAGGTGCTGGGGGTAGAGATGGAAAAGAGGGAGGAAAAAAATAAATAAATAAAGAAGGAGCCCCGCTTCTCTTCCTTTTTCATTTAAAAAAAAAAAACACACTAGTTAGGTGTGCAGCCCCCTAAGGAGTCAACCTCTGCTGCAGGAATGCCCATTTGCTTTTCATTTTACAGGGACGCTATGTTTTGCTCGGGGGCTCGTGTTGCCCCATCCCCTCCAAACACGAACGATAGTGTCAAAATATTCCTTTATGAAAAGGCATGGATCCACTGTGCTGGCCAGGTACCTACATGCCCCCAGCCAGTACAGACGGCAAGAAAGAAGAAAAAAAAAAGAAAAAGCTAACTTCCAACAAAACTAATAAAAGCCATTTTGGTTTTGCAGTTTGTGGGAGGAAGGGGGTTTCCCCCTTCTCATCATCCACTTTCTCTCCCAAAGTATTTTCTAATTAAAAAGTGAAAAACTATTTTTTAAAAACTTTTGAAAGAACCTATATACCCCTGCAAGAAACAACTGTATGGAGAGACTTTCCAGACTAAAATATACTAAAAAAAATGATTTTAGAAACTAGCTTCACTTGCAGAGTTTTAACTAGCTCCACTGCCCTTGACCGAGACACTTGCTCAGGACCGTCTACCTAAGGAAGAAGGGTACCAGCGAACCATGGGTTGAATAGTCACGTGTAGCACCATGTAGCCTTAAACTGAACAGAACAGTCCAGCAATACAGAAGTGCAATGCTTCAATGGACCATGCATCATTGGGATCCATCAACCCATCTACTCCTCTTTATCAAGGAAGTTTGCTGTAGAAGTCTTTATAAAGGATATCCACGAACGTAAGAGAAGAGAAACACATCGCAAGTATCTTCTAAAGCAAACCTCCTCCTAAAACATCAGTCCAAGGGCACTACAAGCCCTCTTTAGTATCTCAGAAGATGCATACAACAAGCAACTATGAGAAGGGATGAGTACATAGATGCTATAGCCAAGCTGGAGAGGGACTCACTATTCCGGATGTTATTTTTCAGGTGATCATCACCTTCTGAAATAAAACCTATTTGAAATATCTAGGTAGGCACCCAAGTGTCATTAGTCTCTTTAAAGCCCAGGTTTTTTGTTTTGTTTTTTTCAAGAGTACCAGGATGGGATTCAAAGTGCTGTGTTAGCAGCCTGGACTCAGGCCTCCAGGATTAGTGCCTGGAAAGTCTAGGAAATGATAAAAATATTGAAGCGTTAAATGGACCAGTTGTGAGCTGGATCCGTTTTATTCACTCTCGCAGGAAGAGCTTCTGCAGGATGTTGCCAGATGTGACAACTGTGGCTTGCGGGTCACAACCAAGGTGACTACAAATATCCTAGTCCAAGACATAGGCACAAAAATATCATGCCAGGCAGAGGATGAAAGTTATTTACCCCAAGTGCAGCCATGCCACACGTGACACCCCAGAGTGCTGAAAGTAGGCAAATCCCCTCCAGGGAGCAAAAAGAAAAATTCTCTGTAAGATCCTAGAAAACGCGGGTAGGAAGGGACCTCAGGAAGTCACAATTAGCTCAACCCCCTGCTCCAAACAGGACCATCCCTGTTCCCCCAGCTCTTCGGATCTCAGCCCATTAGCTGAGTTTTGCTCACTAGTCCAAATTTCTGAAGCATCTGGGAACAAAAGCGATGGGAAAAGTTGTTTCTAATCTTCTACTTTGTGAAGGTGAAAGTGGGGCAACGTGCAATCCAGCAAGCCTGGTGAAAAATGAAGGCCTCAGCATGCTGAGCTAGAGTTGCACTGGCCTCAAGAAAACCATCTCGAGGACAAGACATTTCATAGGGTTAATGTGAAGGTTGCCAGAGGTCTAGAGCCCGATGTGCTGGGAAAATGCATGCAAGGGAGAAGGGAAATACCTAGCCAAGCTGGTGAACAGGCTAGCTCTTCAAAAGAAACACCCCCATGGAGCAAGTGACTCAGTGCATTCACAGGCAGGTTTTTTTTTTTTTTTTTTTTTTTTTTTTTTTTTTTTGTGTGTAAAACAACACACAACAACCAGCAGCACCAGCTCCGTGCCCATTTCAGTTGGGGGCACCAAGTAGCAGCGTTGGGACGTGGAGACACTTTGCGACAGTCACAGTAGAAGGGCTCAGACAGCATTTCCCTCCCCCTCTTCCCCAAACAGTGGCATCAATAAACAAGCGCCAGCCGAGCTGAGCGAAGGTCCCCATATGAAGTGCTGGTTTGGAGCTGCCCCTGCATGGGACCTTTATAATCCAACAAAGCTCTTTTATGCAATGTAACACGGAGTGGGGTCCTGTGAGGCAACGGTGTCAGTTGGATACCTTCTCAGCTCCTCACAAAGACCAACCTGTTCCTTCCAAGGGGACTGGAAGTCTTTTGGGGTGAGCAAAGTTCAAAGGCTTTTTTTTTTTTGTTTATGCTCACCCAAATCCTTAGCTTTTAGGATGAAATTGCCAACTAGTGCCATGTGTGATTGTGTTATTTTGGGCCAAGAGGGAGGGGGTTGCATGTCTTTCTTTGTTAGGACCTGGACTGAGACCAAAACAGCTCATTTCTCATAAATCAGGAGGACCAGCATAGTCCCCCCCCCCCC